GCCACTCTGGTGATGGACTCAGGTTTCTCCTCAGAGATTTCCCCAGAGTTCTCCCACTTAGGCGGAAGTTGTTAAACTATTTATAGACAGAGGTAACTAACGGAGGTGTCCAATGATGAACTGCTAAGTGGAATCTTTAATTTTCTGGCAAGCAGCAGTTCTTTGTGTTATCAGGTTACAAGGTAGTGGGTCAGGTTTCCTGCCTGTTACGTATGAGGTTACGATGAGGGGCCTAAGCTTTTTCTTGGCCAATTATATACAGTTCTCCCTCTGGGTTTTGTTTCAGGAGTTTCTGGCAAGGATTTCTTTTACCCCTTAATTAACTACTGTGTGTGAAGTGAGGATGGTCTGAATGGTATCTCTTGCTAGTGGCATGGGCACTGATTAACTGGGTTGTGACAATAAGAAAAGCTTATGGTTCACGTCTCCTTGGTACACGTTAGAGTGGAATGCAGTCTCATGCTTTGGCTGCTGATACATTATCTGAAGAGGATTAGATGGTAACCTCTTTAGATTTCTTTATATCCTGTTTCTTTAAACAGGATTGAAAGAAAACAAATATAGATTTGAATAACGGGACCTCACCTGACCAAAATATTAAATGTCATCTGCATCATGCAGCAGAACATGCTGTTGCCTTTCAAGAACTGGTTGAATGAATGACATTCACACTTAATTTCTTAAGGTGTGTCCAGATAAGTGCGCATGTATGGTTTTCATCACCTTAAACCCATCTGCAGTGCCACAAACCATACATGCTGCACATGCACACATTTGCTGCACTGCTAATTTGTAGTGTGGCATGGTTTTTTTTGACACTGGGAGATCCTGGTGTAAAAAAAAACTGTGGCAGAAAAGGGCGGGGTGGCACACGTGGCGGCAGAGTATGCTGTCCAAAACCAGAGGCTGGCTGGCCAGAGCCATGTTCCGGCTGCTGGCCAGGCTCTGTGTGCCCAGATTGCCACTGTTATGGCCCCATGAGGCCCCCAGGACTCCCAAGTAAGGCTTCTGGGGCCAGCCCAGGTGCTGGCCCCAGCCTTCCCTACCCCACCGGGGCAATTTTCCATGCACCAGAGCATGCATGCAGGGGCATTCCCTGAGGACAAGTAGCAGCAGCACAAATATTTGTCCCTAGAGAAATACATGTTCCTGCTCTTGGGTACATATCCTAAGCTTCCTTTGTAGAGGAGACTTCAGACCAAATCTTCAATATCCAGGCTTCTCACTCAGCCATTATTTTTCCATCTTGTATTTGTTCACTTACTCCACTCATGTTAAATATGCTCCTTAACAGTATATAAAAAAACCAAACAAATTGTATCTGCTTTTGAAGAGAATGTTTCTTCCTTCCATATGCATCTTGTAGCATATCCTTTGATAGGAGAGGTAAAAGATCAATAGGAGGATCAAAGATAAAAACAGAAGTACATGGAAGTAAGAAAGGTTAAAATAGATCAAAAGTAAGGTAGTTGATCAAAGGGAAGCATGATTTATCAACATAAAGATGTGGTAAATGGGTGGATATATTGAGAAAAAAGTGTTTTGTTCAAATTTTCAAGCATTTGCAGTGGCTTGTCTGTCCCTCGAGATAGATTGTGTTTACTCATCATATCACTCCCAAACAAACAGAAAGAAGCAAAGAATGTAATCATAGTTAACAGTCAACAGATGGTAAACATGCCCTGGGGATTTCTTTCAGCTCTTCAGTGAAACTATTACCTTGGCAGTTGCTTGGTTTAAGTGATCTGCATTTCCATCAGAGACCATTTCTGGACAATAATCTTAGCCTCCCATAATTCTCTTCCTTTTTTCAGAAGACTGGTTTTCAGGAATGGTGTTTATTAGGCCTGTGTGAAGTGGAAAGTATTCGCTTTGGATTCGGAGGGACAGTGATTCAATTTGATGATTTAAATCACTGTCCTGATTTGATTTGGCCAAATCTGAAAATATATGGCATTGAATCAGATTCAGCCCTAGACTATACAGGCAGACAGTGCCGGCAGGAGCCGCCGAGGCAGCAACGCGGGAGCCGCTGAGGCAGCAACCAGACAAGCCCTGGCTTGAGCCAGCAGCCCCGGGAGAAGCCACGGCTTGTCCGGCTGCTTCCCTAGTTGCTCCTGACAGGGTGAGGCAGGCAGTGCTGGCAGCCCTGGGAGAAGCCATGGGAGCTGAGGGGAAATGATTAGAAGCTGGGGGGAATGATGGGGGAGCGGGGGGATCAAACTGGGAGCTGGGGGAAGCTCCTGTTTGTTCCCCCAGCTCTCGGTTTGATCCTCCAGCTCACAGTTCGATTCCCCCAGCTCCCCAATTATTCCCCGCAGCGCCTGCAGCTTCTCCTCAGGTGAGACAGGCAGTGCTGGCAGCCCCAGCAGGGGGGCAACCCGGGGAGTAGCCAGATGAGCCGTGGTTTAAGCTGGCAGCCCTGGGAGAAGCCATGGGGGCTGGGGGGAATGATTGGGAGCTGGGGAATTAAACCAGGAGCTGGGGGAAGCCCCTGATCATTCCCCCCAGCTCCCTGATCGTTCTCCCCAGCCCCCATGGCTTCTCCCAGAGCTGCCAGCACTGCCTGCCTCGCTCTGGCAGGGGGACAGCCAGATGAGCAGCTGCACAAGCCGTGGTTTCTCCCGGGGCTGCTGGTTCAAGCCGGGGCTCATCCAGCTGCTCCCCCAGCCGCTCCTGCTGACACTGCCTATGGCCAAATCTCTCTGAATTCATTTGAAGGCTTCTGATTTGGTTCGGAGAGATTAATGGGTCTCCTGATTCAATTCGGATTTAGAGATTCGGCCACAGAATCGGGCCAAATCTCCTCTGCATTGAATCAGCTACTGAAGCTTTGTACATCCCTAGTGCTTATCTTCGTATCACAGATAACTTCATTTTACTGTAACTGTTGACACTTATTCAAAGTCCTCTTGTTTGGCCTTTTTCTGCCCCCAGGGTTTTAGAAAATGTCTTTCTATAGTTGCAGTCCACTTAAGTGAGTGTTTCCAATTTACTCTATTTAGGTGACAGTCTTGAGATACTACTTCCCATTTTGTGTACATTCTTCCAGATTATTTTATTATTATTTTAATAAAAGAAATCTATTTGACACCTAAAAAAAATTTCAATTTCTTAGTGTCTATATTAAATTCTTAGATAAGTAGCACCCTTCTTCCCAGTGATAGATTCATAAGTATGAAGGCTAGTACAAATGCTTGGATATCTTGGAAAGAAAGTACAATTTTACCTCAGAATAATGGGTTTAATGGCTTCAGTGACCTCTGTTACCTACATGCTCTTCTAAAAATGAGAATTCCACAACATTCCCTGGACCCCAGATGGAGACGGACCCTGGGCAGTAGGCATCAGAAACTGAGCATCCAAGAAAAAGTACTACTGTCTAATAAATAGTGGACTCTGCCTCAAAATCTGCCCAGTGGCATCCTACCTAGCTTCCAGCTTGCTCTCTAACAGCTACTGTAGATGATGCACAGAGGACTGGCTGCACCTTCCCAGCCAGAGGTCTTTGTTCCTTTCTAGAGGAATTCAAATATTATAAAAGCCTTAGTCTATCTGTCCATAACGCTTTATTTGCACTCTGATAGGTTGTCTGAAGAACCAGTCAGGGTGCTTCAAGAGCGTTCCAGACAGGGAGCATGGTGGCGGCGCTTGGAGTGGGCCCAGACCCCAAGTGGTGGTAGCAGGGAGTGGCCCTGGGCCCCAGGCCCAACGCAGTGCAGGGGGAAGGGAGCAGCGGGCCTGGGTCTGAGGTGGTGGAGGGGAGGAGCGGGAAGAACTCCAAGGGGGGGGGGTGGGGGGGGGAGGGAGGAACAGCCCGGGGGGGGGGGGGGGGGGGGCAGACACGGGGCTCTGTCCCTGCCTGCTCCCCCACCCCCGCATCATTCCTGACTGGCAATTTGCTATCGTCTTCATATAAACCATATTAGAAATCATAGTGGCTCTTTGTCTTGAAAGGCATTCCTACCTCATGTACTGTCATACAGAACTAGCAGTCATAGACAATAGCAAAGCTGTGTATTATATAAACTAACAAAGTCTTGCCTACTCTTCCCACATTTATGAAGAAACAGTGCACATAGGGGAATTGTGGATAGCTTGCAACATATTTTTCACAGGAACAGGACAGAAAAGAACATATTTCTAACAGATTAGCCAAGCAGGTTCTAAATAAGCACTTAACTTTGGAAAGAAATCAATTAGAATACATTATCATTTGGAATGAAATAAGTTTTCCTTGTCATCAGAGGGGAATAATATACACCCTGATTTTGGCCCATCTAAAGTATTCCTACGTGATTCCTATGTTCCAACTTAAGATTTCGAGGTGGTGATTATTTCTCAGTTAAAGTCAGTTTGCCAGCAGCATCAGTTTTTATATTCTGTCTGACAGTAAATCAGTATATATTTGTGAATCCGTTAAGAGATTCTTAAAAAGACACAGTAATATTTATAAAATCAGTAAGAATTCCTCTTTACTATAAAATCTCAATGTTAATACATGAAACACCCTTTCAAACTAATAGGAGAAATTCTGTCATCTTTTAATAAAAATGTCTTGTTTGTTTTAATTTGCCTATTTTGTGATGTAATTTCTGAGCAAAAATCGATTGTACATGTTTTATTGAAGATGTTATGAAATCTAGGCACTAGATTTCACTTAAGTCTTTGTACAAGTAAATACATGTGCCATTCTCTTTCTTTTGTCTTTCGCTAGTTAGAAATAAATGAAAAATTAACTAAAATGTTAACGGGTTGTATGTACAGCTGTAGTGACATGTATATCTTATTTTTCTAGATGATTGATTAAAGAGTACCAATTTAAATTCTTATTTTAAAAATAATCCTCACCTGTTTTGTTCAAATAACTATGACTCATAACATTTACTTATTAGCAAACGGATTTTGAAGCTATTGATGTTTATAATTCATTACAGTAACTTGATAGAGCATTCCTTTAGTTTACTAATATGTTATATTTCAAACTTCTTTGTTCATAGGTCATTTTTATTATTTAGAAGGACAAAAAGATGCCCTACTTTGTGGTAATGGCACAGATGCAGGGTAAGAAATACCATGAAAATTATATACTATTGATTGTATAAACTAAATGTAGCATTTCTGACACAGATAGCTAAAGAATTAATTGTACTCTCAACCAGTCCATAGTCTTTCCTCTTAAGTAGGCCTGTATAAAAACATGCTGAAATATTTTCACCCTAAAGACCTTTGTTATTCCCTTTTGCTTTGGTAGGTGGAGGCAGATCAGATATTTCTCAGATCTGAACTGTGATTGCCCATCATTCTGCCAAATCTGATTTGGAGATTCGGCTGCCACCGAATCAAAGAGGCCCCACCCCCCACCCCCTTTCCAAGCTCCCCCAGCCTCCCTGAGTGCCCCCTAACCCCTGCCTACTCTCCCAGCCCTGTCAGTGGCTGTCCCTCCTGGCCCCAGTGTCGCAGCTCTTAAAAAAATAAATAAAAAGCCCTGCACCCACCGGCTCCTGCCAGGCAGGGGGACGATCCCCACTGCCCCCCACTCCCCTGTACTGTGTGAGGAGGGCTCTGCCACAAACCCCCAGAAGCCCCAACAGCTGCAGCAGCAGCTGGTGAGTGTGGGGCTTTTTCTTTTTTTCCCCAAGAGCTGGGATGCTGGGGCTGGGTGGGGCAGCCATTGATTGGGCTGGGAGAGAGGGGAAGGGATGGGAGATCATGGCAGAGCCCTCAACGCAATGCAACACAGTGTGGGACAGTGGGGATGGCCCCTCTGCGTGGCAGGAGCCACTGAGCCAGGAGACGGGGCTTTAAAAAAAAAATTTTTTTTTAAGTGCTGGAATGCTGGGGCTGGGCAGGGCAGTCATTGACAAGGCTGGGAGAGTGGCCGGGGGTTGGGAGGCACTCAGGGAGACTGGGGGAACAGGGAGGGGATGGGGCCTGGCACGGGTCTCCCATGGTCCTCGCCCCCTCTCTCCAGGTCCACCCCCCTCCCCCCACCTCCTACATACTGGCACGGAGCCCAGGTCCAGCTTCCTGTGGCGAGAAGCGGGGACTGCCCAAATCTCCAAATCTTTCTCCAAATCTTTTCTGAATTGATTTGGAGGCTTCGAATCAATTCGGACCTTTTTATTGGTCTCCCAATTCGATTCGTATTTGGGCCATATCTCCTCCAAAATGAATCAGCACCCAAAGCTTCACACAGCCATATTAAGGAAGCTCAGTTTTGTTTGGTTTATATAAATCAGTTTCAGTTTTTTCAGTTGTTATTGTGCACTGATGCAGATGAGCTTGTGGAGGGATGCAAGCGACTAGTTTTGACCTGGAACTGTGTCTATTCGGACTTGTAAAAACTAACTGGAGGAGTCAGAGGCCATTATTGGTAGGCTTCCCTTCAGAATTGCATTCTGGAGTCTGCAATTGTCCAGCCCTTACTCAAGAAGCCATCTCTTGATGCCAATTTTCCATCCAGTTATTGCCTCATTTCCAAAACTTGTTGTGGAAGTTCAATGAATGGCTCCAGGTTTACCCACATTATCGAAATTCTAGATCCCTTTCTTCCGGGCTTTTGTCTTGTGTATAGCATGGACACGTGCTTTTGTAACCTTGCTTGATGTCCTGCACCTAGCAATCAGTGAGGAGATTATGTCCTGTTGATCTTATTAGATCTTTCAGGGCCTTTGATGCAGTTCACCATGAGGTGCTATGAGCATGTTTGTGACATGGTGAGTATTGGAGGCTCTTAGGCTTTTCAAAAAGCAAAACAAAATAAACAGGTTGCTAGAAAAATTGTACTGGCAGAACTGTGTTGATTAGGTTTGTGATTTTTTTTCCGGTACAGTCATACCAGTATAGCCCTAGCATGAATACAAGTATATTGGTTAAATGTGCTTTAAAACACATTTACAGTAAGTGAAAAGTGGGAAGAGAAGGAATCATCTCAGAGCTGATGATATGGTAACTGTTCAGGTGACCTACAGTCAGCGAAAGCTAAACCAGAGTAATTTCATTGAGAAGTTCTATTGAAAGATTAAGTGCCCTGGCTAAGCTGTTACCATAGTGCATGAAGAATTACTGTTTATCAGTTGTGCCAAGGTAATTCCCCCCTCTACTTTTACTCTCAGTAGTTTGTTGGTTTGCCCATATAATCATACCAGTCTTATTTTTTTTGAAAAGTTTAACATGGCAAAACTGTCTAGTGTAGACTAGCCAACACAATAAGAATAATATAGGCTGAATGCAATTTCAGGAAATTCTTGTTGTTCTTTATGGACTAAAAATGCAACCAGTTTGCCTAAGAGTGAGGCTGCTACAGCTGTTTTAGTAAAGGGCAGTCATATACACAAGGAACATTTTGGCTAAATCTATAGATAAGAAAATAAGATTATCACTTACATAAAACTTGGTTACAAAAAAGGAACATAGGGAAGGGAATTTCTGGGAAACTGAGTCTAGCCTGTTACCCAGGCAACTATATCTCATAATCTTATTCATAAATTTGTCAAGTTGTATCTTTTAGCTAGCCTTTATGCCTGCACCACTCCTTTTGGAAGCCAGACAGAATGGTCAGGGCATCCTGCAATTGCTCCAGAAATCATTAATTTAGACTGCACTCTGGACACCCATTAAAAACGAATACCAGTTGATCCAGCTGAAAATAGGGATTTTGTCATTCAGCCAGGGAAAGGAAAAGCAGCCATAATGATTGCTCCCTTACTTATAGTTGGTTCGAGACACTGGTATGCCTTTTAATAACACTAACTAAATGGGTTGTTCAGCTCTGTTACAAATAGAAAACTGTTAGCATAATGGCCTGGGGCTTTATCTCCTATCTGTCTACCCTCTTCTTGGCCAATGAATCTCAACATGCTTGTGTCTTCATTTGCTGCTGATTTTCCTTCTGGAGCCACCATAGAAATTAGGTATTGGAAAAAGTAAGTGCAGCCCATTCTGAAAATTGAAAGTCCCAGGCTGAGCTTCTCTGGAACTGGCAGCAGTAAAAAATGGGGTGAGCTGGCAGCAATAAGTAGTGAAGGCTGAATCCCCTCACCACTGACTGTCACTGATTCCCAGGATGCAATTTAAATAGAGTGGGGCATAAGAGTGGCCACCCACTATGGTGGGGCAAAATCTGCAAAGTTTAGGAAACAGTGGGATACTCTAATCAGAGAAGAATATTCCATAGAATTTGCTTTTTGTCCCAGAGAAAAGTATTATTCTTCCTCAAAGTTATAAAAACAATGCAACATTATCAACAACAAAACTAATGTTTATGCTATCAAAGTAGGGAAAATGCTGTAGTCCTCCCCTCGTGCATCAGAGGAATACAGCCGGTACCATAAAGAGACAAATACTTGAAAAAATGCATAAGAAATACTCATTCTTTGGTATTGAACTGAGGCTACTCTCTGTTCTGGTCTTTCAGTAAGTTAAAAAATGGATGCAGAAAACCATTCCTCATTGTCTCCCCAAGACTTCAGAAAGTAAAGATAAACTTCTTGGAGATTTACTCAATATGATTAAAGACTTTATTTTCCTTTTGTTCAGTTGTTAGAGAGAAACATGTTTCATCAAGTTCCCTTCATAGATAAATGCATCATGCTTTCAGGAAACAAGATTTTGAGCAAATAAGGACAGCAACTGATTTTAGTCTGCATAAAACTCTAGGTTGTTCTAGTCATCGTCAAGGAAGAATTTTAGGGGAGAAGAATAGGTCTCTGATTTGTCAACTCTGATTATGCTTCTGTGGTAGTTATTATCATGCAGAGATACCCTGACCAATTCTTGCTTCACTTCCAGCCTGACATTCAAACAAATCAGTAAAGAATCAGTATAGAACATATTTTGGCTAAGAGCCAATACTGTCATCTCTGCAAATTTATCCCTGATATTATCAGGACCCTCCTTGTCTAACCCTACTTCAAGGACTCAGTTTTGTCCCAATTATTTCCTCCTAGCTCTTGCTCATTTGTTAAATACTTTGAATCTATTTATCTAAAAATTCTTAAATTCCATGCACAAGGCTGTGCAGCAACGTTTTGTAAACTTTTACATAGCCAGTATATTTTAGGTTTGGAAAGTCTTGTTCTAAAACAGGAGTGCTCAACCTCCAGCTTGTGGGCCAAATATGGCCCGTGGAGCCATCTCATCTGGGCCACAGGGATTTTTGTGTGTCCAGAAATTTGGCAGCAGAGGAAAAGTGGCCATCCTCTCCCGCTGCCAAATTCCCAAACCCCACGTATGCCTCCTTCCCCGGTAAAGCTGGTTCACACTCCCTCTCCTCTGCTTCTGGATCAGGGTTGGGCCATGCCCCCTGTCCCCCTGTGGAGCCAGGCTGGGGCTCAGCTACAACCCCTCCACCCCCATGGAGCCAGGTTGGGGTTGCGCCATGTCCCCTCCCTCCTGTGGGGCTGGGTCAAGCTCCTTTCCCCTGTGGGGCTGCATTGGGGCTAGCCTTCCCCCCACATCCACCTTTGAAGCTGGATGATGCCCACTGTGCCTACCCCGGCACAGAATTGGGACCACCAACTGGACCTGACCTGCAGAGGGACCAAGCACATTGCCCATCCGGCCCACCAGGCAAAAAGGTTGGGCACCACTACTCTAGAACGTTCCCGCTACAGGCTCATAAAGAGCTGGTCTGACTTCAGTAGCCAGGGATATGAGGAGAACCTGCTATGAGATGGATATACAGGTTTAGAAAGAAAATTTATGGCTAAATTGGATTTTTCCCCTTCATTTCTGATATAGCAGGAGTAGAATTTCAGTTTCACTAATCCACAGACTGTCAAGAAACTTGATCCATCTCTTCTGTGAGGAGGAGAGGGATTGTGAGGGAGTGTCTTTGATTTTTCTTTTCCATTCTCTTAATTTTCTTGCAAATTGAAACTGTAGTAATCCACAGTGAGCTGCTTCCATTGATTAATAAGAATTAGTGAATCTTTAAAAATATCTGTTAACTCAAAGACATCCTTGTATTCTCTATCATTTAAAAAAAACAAACAAACCTGATTTAAGATGTATTCCTTTCTTCTTTTTTTCCCCTCCCCCTAGTCAATGCCCAGAAGATTATATTTGTGTGAAAGCTGGTAGAAACCCCAATTATGGCTACACAAGCTTTGATACGTTCAGCTGGGCATTCTTGTCACTGTTTCGCTTGATGACTCAAGACTACTGGGAAAACCTTTATCAGCTGGTGAGGATATAGTGAAAGGTCTAAAATCAACTGTGAAGAATGTGTTTCGCTAGTATATAACACAAACATGACATGTTTTTGAGAATTGTTTAAAGGAAGAAAAGATTCCTCAAAGAATTGAAGAATCGTACAGAATCTTGAAGCAGGATCTGAAATGGCTTCTAAACCATTAAACAGAAACTTTTGGTGTCTGTTTCATTATTACAAAGATTTCATTTGAGGCAGTACTCCAATCAGAACTGTAATAGTGCATTTATTTTTAAATATATAGTGAATCTTAGTCATGATTGCAAAAGGTATCATCCCAAAGTGAAATACCTTGAATCCTGTTTGGTGTTTCTTCTTGCAATAAACTAAGATCTACTTTTTACGTGCAGCTGTTGGTAGCGTCAGTTTTAAATGTCCTGGCTGGTGAAAGAGAAAGACATAATTGATAAAAATTTGTTGCCAATAATTCCAACATGTAATATAAGTGTGTGTTAAACTTTTTCTCCTCTTCAAGATTATTTTACACTGAAACAGTTTCCTCCCAGAGTAAAACAATCTCGAATAACACACTCTCTCATCTGTCTCATGAACATGTACTCTCACATGTTCATGCTTGACATTCATTTTTATTTTGATTTACAACACAAATACAATACTGTTCCAAACACAAAAATAATTCCATCTTTGATAGATGTATGCTCTTCTAATCAAGTTAGTTTTATTTGAAAATGATGCTGTGTCATTCTTAATCATGCACATTCTTTTCCCCCAGACCCTACGAGCTGCTGGCAAAACATACATGATATT